GGGGACGCATCAGAAATCCGTGAAGGGTAAGATAGCATAGGCCCTCCCAAAGCGGACAGTACGTACGATATGATGACGGCTCCGGCGCGAGGTCGGATCATTACAAAAAACGTACAATTGGTACCAGGATTCAACTTAAGTCTCCCATATGATTGAGGTCTTGGGTTTGAATCTTGGGGGACGCATCAGAAAGCCGTGAAAGCTAAGATGGGCATTGGCTCTCCCAAAGCGGACACTACGTATGATATGATAACGGTTTTGGCGCGAGGTCGGGTCATTACAGATCTTCTCAATGAATCTTCTCCAGCCTATGGGATTTCAACATAATGAAATCAGAAAGAATATCGGAAAATTAAATGCAACACAAGAAATATGAAGAAAGAGAGAACCTTCTTAGCTTTCAGAACCTGCTCCCTTCAAGAAAGCTCTATTCCTAATCTTGCACATGAAACTAAGATAAAATTCGTTTCTTGCCCCCCGTCTGCAACCATCAGAATCGATCCAATGATAAGAACAACATAAAATATATAATTTATCTTAATGAGGATTCACTAAGAAACTGAGATCTTCCGTAGAGGAGCTCGTCAAAATGATCGTGAAAGTAACATGTAACATTCTCTGAGTTTAGATGTGTGTGCAAGCAACTTTATAAGACAAGTCTTGAGAGGTAACAAGCAGTAACTTTTCATTCAAAAAGATATTGATGAAACATAGAACAAAAATTCACTGGTAAAGCTTTTGACATATTCCAAAATCAATTGAAAGCTTCTCAAGTCTTGTTTCATTACTTTAGGACCTTCAATGGGTTTCTGCAGTTAAGAAATATAATGATTATCCAAATCAAGTTCAAATTGTAAGGATTTTTAATCTATCATGTGGGGTTATATGTAAATTATTATGTATTAAATTAAAAGCTATCAATTTTGGTTAAGCCCGTTTAAAGTGATCTAATAAGGTTTCGGTATTTTGAATTTTGAAGTATCTAATTAAAGTACGCGCCTTTATGTGTCTACCAGGTCTATTCCTAATTTATGATGGGTGGAATTAGGTTAATAGACCGTTAATATATAAATATGGTTATGGTCCCCGGATCACGGGGTGATTGTTTATTCTGTTCTGACTCCCATCGTCAGAGAGAAATAAAGGAACAACGTGTTGATCTAGAAGACTAAAATTGCATGATTCATA